TCTTTCTGCTGGTTCATGAAATCACTCTGACTCAATAAGAAACTAGTTTACTGCTGTCTGCAACATAAGAATATTTGCAAGGAACCAGATGCTGTGTGTTTAAAATGAAAAAAAAAATGTTATGCATGGAGAGATTAATTTCATAAACAAATCACTGTTCTCCTTATTCCACTGCACACCACTGTCATCTGCCTAATACTTCATCTTCACTGTTTGCAACCTCAAGTTGCTCACCCCCAAAAAATCATCCCACCTCAAGCACTTGCCACGTGTTCTAACTAGGCTACATTGGCGTGCTGGGTTTGTCTGGGGCAGTTCACTTTCTTCACAGTGGCTGGTACAGGGGTGTGTTTTGGATTCGTGCTGAATATGGGGATGATAACACAGAGATGTTGTTGCTGAGCAGGGCTCACACGGAGACAAGGCCTTTCCTGCTTTCCCTGCTGCCACACTGGTGAACACTGCTAAACCATAACAATTGGAACACCTGTAATGTCCTATAAAATTTCTGTGATGACCTGCCAATGGCAAACCAAGTCTCCTTTCACGGATTTCTCTGAGCTACAATGAGCTGAATGCAAGCTCTTTACTTTGAGAAGACTTGGTTATAGCAGGGTAGGAGCCAGCTGGCAGAAGGAAGACCTTGGTATGGTGTCACCCAAATCTGGGCACCCTCCTACACCCCACAGGGACTCAAGCACCACAAGGCAGAGGAGGGAGGCAGGGGAAACATTCTGTGCCTACACTCTCTTCATCACACAGACCACAAAGTCTTCTTGGTGAAAAGGTTTTAAAGCTGCCTTCGTAAGACCTTACTTTGATATGGGAGCTGCTCAGAGGAACACATCCCTTTGAATGGTTTAGATTATGATACTTCCAACACTCAGCCTTGAACATCACCTGTGCAGCAACTGACTTGTGGTTTGCCAAAGGAGCTTGGGAGGGAGCTCCTTATCATGGTGAGCTGCTTGTGCTTCAGCAATGGCAATTTCTTACTGGCACCAAGGCTGCCATCCACCTTTACCAGTGCCTAATCCCCAAGGAAAAGATGGTGGAGGCTTGTGTCAACCAGCTGGTGCCACCTCCCAGCTCCTAGTAAGACAACCCTGTGGCCCTGGCAGCAGCAACTGAAAGCACCATGTGGGCTCACAGCCTCGATGTCTCACGGTGGCTCCCTGACTCAGGAAGCTACAATGCCAGGAGGATGGTGGATGACTTCAGGCCAGCAGAATCTAATACCTTGTGATCCTATGACCTAGTGCAAAAGGCAGGAGGAGTGGGAAGCCCAGCAGGCACCTGATTGAAGAGGCTGGGGGAGGTAAGAGGAGACAGTGTCCTGCTGTGCATTTCTTCCACCTCCATAACCTTCTTATTTTCAAAGAGTTTCCATAGGGCTGTGGTAGCTATTGTTCTCCAGACCCGGTGCATCAGCATCCCCACTCCACTGGCAGCAGTTTGTGATTCACACACTGCCAGCCCTTCTCCTTCTTCATGTCAGTAAAACAAGCAGCTTGTTTGGCTTCAAGGGGAAGCAAAATGTGTGCAACTTGGACACCCCCCTGCCAACCATGTACAGGGTGATCGTGCTGCATTCTCTGCAACCAGCACGGGCTGCCTGGGCATGTGATCATGATCAGACAGACCCAGATGCATGTACACTGAATTCCAAAAAACATGTGCCTCTCCTTCCTTCCTTCCTTCCAAAACTGACCACAGGAGCCCGGTCAAACTTTGGCACAACCGTTATTGATGTGCAGAGTCAGTGATAAATGAGTAATTCTTTATGTTTAGTTTTCAAGGAGGCTGCAGATTCATCTTGGCCGTTAAGATAAAAAGGAGGCTAATTCAAAACTACAGCAAAGTTTAAGTAGTAATTCTGCACAAGCAGGCAGGTAACATCAGTGTAAAAGTCATTCTTATTTTTTCTGCTTGGCTTTGTAAAAAAAGAAATACTGTCAGGGCTGTGCTTTTTTTTTGAAATCTGCATTATTTTTTTTTTCCTAAAAAGGGGTTGAAATAGGTTTAAGTATTACTGTTATTATCTCTAAAATGACAGAGACATTTCCATGTTGAGTTTCCATTCACAGATATCCATATTCACCATGTGCACACCTTTGATTCCAGGACTGCAGGTCCCCTGTGGTCCAAGGACTCAAGGTTCATTTTGTGTAGTAGCTCTTTCTGCCAAAATGGGGTTATTAGTATTAGGAAATAATGCAAGGTCACCCACAGCCTTGATAGGAAAAGGAGGGTAGGAGAATATTAGAGAGAAACTGTAAGCTGTAACATCCAGCTGCAGTTGGCAAACCTGAGTGCGTTTGGAGTGCCTGCACCAGAATTTCACTCCCCTGTTTCCAATTGATTGCCCTGGCCTAGTGATTAACCACCTGAATACACCCAAGAAGGATATTCACAGAAGGATCTCATGATAAAAAGGCTATTCCTGGCCCTCTTTCCATCACATCATAATCTGTCCACTAATATGGCTTGAGATCTCAGCTGATCAAAAGGTCATAAGATGCTACTGCTAAGTATCACTCTGCCTCTGTTCAGCCAATGGCATTTTTACTCCATTCAGCAGTCAGAGGAATGCAACAGCAAAGCCTTCAAATCTGTTTGTATAATAGATGAAGTCTTCTCTATATGGCATTTATCATCCTTCAGGGAATGACACCTGATAAATAAACCTCTGGTTCCCAGTGAATTTAAATAAAACAAAGGCAAATCATATCACTGCACACTGTAAATATGAAACTGCAGAGAACATAAGGGTTCCCAATCTCTCACCATCTCCTTTGCTGCAAAAGCTGTAAAGTGCTGACCACCCTCAGATTCTGCCAAAATCAAGGGAGCCAAAATCTCTGAGTACATTACTAAGAGCATAGTGATAACACAGGAGGGACTAAAAGGTACATCACTTATTTAGTAAATGATAAATGATAAATTTAGTAAATGGTAAATTTTTCTTTTTTTAATGATAGTAAACCCAAAAAAACTAATAAAAGGGTTTATTAGCCTATCAATAGGAATAACAGAGTGAAGGGGCAGGGAGGGAACACCCAATAAATGGGGCAATGTGTTTCCCAGGGAGTAACACTAGGGGGGACAATTTTCAAACATCCTGGGATGAATAAATACTAAACCACATCCTACCCAACACCACCACTCTGTCCAGCTGGTCCCTGCTGTATTGCAGTGGCTACTGGTCCATATGACACCAGCCATGGCCTCCAGCACCAACTGCGGACACTTATCTGGCCACCCTGCTTCCAAACCATTCAATCCCAGCAGAGATTGCTGCCCAAAATGGCAGGGAGAGAGGGAACCACTGCCAAGAACCACCTGTCTAGAGGCCTTGCCTAGAGGGTCTGCAGAGGTAATTCCTGTGGGCACTACCATTGGAAAATGCGCTGCTTTGTGTCCCCAGCGCACCTGAAGTGTTGTCACAACCAAGTTAAACCCCTCAGCATTTCCCAGACAATCCTCCCACTCCTTGGCTTTCCAGACCTCTATACCTGGACCAACAGACAGTTTCTTTAACTGCAACTGGCAGTCATTTTGCTCCTCTCCATGCTTTCAAAGCTGAGAGCCATCAAAGATTAGTAGGAAAAAATCATGACTATTTTTCCCTAAGAAGCAGCGCTGGTAATAGGCTTCAGGAAAAATCCTCCTAAATGCAAGTGATAAGCATAGACTGTGTGAAGGCTGACAGGTCTGATTATAATTATCACTGAGAGGGGACTAGCACTAACCTCCCTTCTGCAAGGCAATGACAATTCCTGGAAGGGAACATGCAAGTGAATTATAAACAAAATCATTGCGAGTAGAGTTGTCTTTCACTGGGAAACTAAATAAGATTCAGATTTGGAGATGGAAAAAAAAATCAAAACAAAACAAACCTTGAACATTTGTTAAAGTTTATCCTGATAGAAAATGGAACTTAATCATGCACTGAAGTTTTGCTGACTTCAGGATGATGGGACTAAAAGAATCAAGAAGGCCACATGAAGCATGGGTGGAGGAATGTATGCAAGAAGTGTTTGGTAATAAAGGAAATATTCTGAAACTATACCTAAAGAACATATCCTGCACCATAACATGAACAAGGAGTCCCAGGGAGGATGTTGGTCCAGACTGAGCTAAATATTCAAAACTAAGACAAAACTCAGGCAGGCAGCCTTGCACTAACCTTTCTCCCTTCCTCACATCCTGGCAGGAAGAAACCCAGACAGAACCAATACAGAGCTCTTCATATTGCTTCTATCCAGTGAATTCCTAAAATTGTATCTGTACATTAACTGAAATACCACAACATCAGCCTTTAGCAGGGTTGTGAAGTAGAGAGGATAGGTAGTATTCCTTCAAGATCATCCTGCCCTGACCTCTGTGGTTTCTCTGACAGCATTGCATTTTTTCCAGTCTGCAGGTTGTTTTCACATTTCTCACTCCATTTCCATCAGAAACTTGGAAATGGAGGAGCTTGGGCAATCTGGAACAAAAGTAGCACAATAAGCAGTTTTTTCTGCCTGAACACAGGGCAAGAGATATTGTCTTCTTAATGGTGGGCTGTAACTGCAGAGGAGATGAAGAGAAGAGCCTAAGAGTCAAAGGCAGTTCTAAGAGTTTCACTCTCATTATATCTCAATGGAGTGGAGCAAATAAATTATGCAAGGAGACATATGGAAACTCACTACGCAAATGGCCTATTTAAGGCTCTTACTTCCTAATTAGGTCCTAGTGTCAGGAGGTTGGTAACAATTATTCACACATAGATCATTTGGATACAATACAAACTGTTCTAAAATCCAAACTGTTATAATGGCATGCATTAAAAAGAAACCTTATTCAGCTTGATCCTTTTAGGTTCCCCTGCTTAGGGCTTGGACTACCAGTTTCTGTGCTATGCATACTTACATTTTGTGTCTAACACTACAAAAATGCATTTGGAAGGGGAGAATGAATAAACAAAAAGCATCAGGGCCATAACCCCTTGTTCTTACCTTGTTCACAGATTTCGTCACTGGACTCTGCACAGGGAATCCACACTCTCTTCCCAGATTCTTCATCTGACTCTGTGGTGTTTCCCAAAGCAAAGAGAAAAGAGAAAACCTTGATCATTGGGATGATTGTGTAGAAAATGGTCACAAGCTCACAGAGTTTTGCTCTGCCCTTTCAGTTTCTTTATAGCTTTCAGTATGGCCACCACCATCTGCCAGCCCCCAGTGCTGGGGCTCACACTCAGCCCTGCAGAGTTTTGGAAGGTCCCCCAAGCTTCCCCTTAACCCACACAGATGTGCAGCTTTCTCCTCCCAAGTACCCCCAAGTACTGGCACAATGAGTGTTGGTGTCAGGGAGAGATGCCATGGACTCCTCTGACAATCCCTGTCAGAAAGGCTTGGGGAGAGCAGGGAGGTGTCACAAGATGTCAAGCTGCCTGTTTTGTACAGGAGTTAAAGCAAGGAGCTGAAGCCTAATGATTACCACATTGCAAAACCATTTAAAACAGGGTAAGTGCTTGTGATTCAACATCATGACTGCAACCAACCTGCTCTGCCCTGTGCTTTGGTACTTCTGGTATGAAAATTAGGTCTTTACTCTGCTTCCGCCATTCCCACTTCTCTTCTTTGTCCACCTCTCCAGCCCTTCACACAAAGGTGAAATATTTTACATTTTCACCTGTGGTGATGCAGATCAGAGAGTGGTTTTTTTTTGCTTTGCTTTGCTTTGCACCGATTTTGCCAAAGGCATCCTTTCAAGCATCAGCCTGTGCAAAGATAATAGGTGACACAATTCTCTGTAACTGGAATCAGCAACAAATCAGCCATCTGCCACTCCAGGGGGCTGAGATTAACCCAGCTACTGGACCGTGACTGCAAAGCATTTGCACATTTAGATTACAGAAATATGAGGTTACCAGCCCAAAAAAATAAGACTGGAGTGGGGAAGGTGTGGAAGATAGCCTTGGAAGAGCTCTGCAGATTAACCCTTCCAGACACAAGTCATCTCATGACAACTTCAAGCAAGCAGTATTTCTCATCATAAAGGGTTAAAGGGGTGAAGGATTTGAAGGAAAAAACTTGATATACACGAGACATCATGTTTCAGGAGAATACATCCAATGACAACTCCTTTATACAGGGAGAAATAAAAACAAAAACATTCAAGTGCCTCATCAGTGCCTTCCCTCCTTGGGACATATGACCAAGCTGCCCAGATGGCTTACTTGACCACTTGGAAAGTACAAGAACAACATTTTTGTCTGAAAGATCCCCTACTCTCAAGACACCTAGGGAATGAGAGAGGTCTGAATTCTGAAGTAACAAGGTTTAGGAAGGTCTCATCATCTATTTATTGCTCCCAGTTCACCTTCTTGAATAACAAACACCACATTGCTACTCCATATGAGTCCACATTAATACTTTTCCATATCTTTGGGATCCTCTCTATGAACCTGATGGGAATTGCTATTTGATAAGTCAAGTATGAAGAGTTTTAAATCAGTAGTAAACACAAGCTGTCTCCACATCTAAAGCATGAGCAATGGTCTGTACAGTTTCATGGTGGGTCAGGACAGACACCAGGGTCTCCTCTGGTCATTTTGATGTCGGTTTTAATCCCCACTCCTGCCATTTGCTCTTGTAGGTTAGAATCCCATGGATCCTTGAGATTAACATCCTCAGGGATTTCAGGTTAAAAAGAGCAGGTTGTGCCTAGAGGAAGATGTGTAGCTGCAGACAAAAATACCAGCAAGCACAAGGAAAAATCTGGCACATCTCACCTACAAGGAGAGATTGAGAACAATGGAATTGTTCAGTCTGGAGAAGACAAGACTCCAGGGAGACCTTGAGCACCTGCCAGTACCTAAAGAGACTAGAGGAGAGCTGGGGAGGGACCTGGGACAAGGGCCTGGAGTGACAGGACAAGGGGGAATGGATTCACATTGCCAGAGGGCAAGGTTAGATGGGACATTGGGAAGAAATTCTTGGCTGTGAGAGTGGTGAGGCCCCGGCACAAACTGCCCAGAGAAGCTGTGCCTGCCCTATCCCTGGAAGTGTTCAAGACCAGTTTGAATGGGGCTTGGAGCAACCTGGGATAGTGGAAGGCTTCCCTGCCCATGGCACAGGGGCCTGGGACAAGATGAGCTTTAATGTTTGTTCCAACCAACCATTCTGTGATTCTATGAAATTCAGGCAAGATCTGCACGGTGCATGCCCTTGGGGAGGATGGTGGCTTAAATACACAGCTCATCTCATGAAGTCCAAAGAGACTGAAAAGCAAACAGCGTGCACATGTGTTTATAGAAACCCAAGCATTTTATGTATGTCCTTTATTCAGAGAAAACAGGTACAGTCAGGTAAAAATGGTACAGGGTTCAGCTGAGAGGTGAGCAAGAGGTGAGTTGCTGCAGTTTTCCTACTCCATACAAAACCTGTTGGCATCACCTCAGAAATGAGTGCACCTCCCAGCAGTGTTAATCTGGGACTGAGCATTTGATCCTCCACAGAGTAAGGACTATTGATTTGTGAGGAGCTGTGAGAAGAGGGTGAGGAGAGCAGGCCTTTGAGTCTCCCTGAATTCCCCACTATTTATCACAGTATTTCCAAGAAGGCATTGCCTGGGCAGAGCTAGGTGCTCCCAAACCAGCTCTATGTGTTTGAGATCAAAGGTGAGGTTTGAAGTTGTTTGGGTGTCTACTAGGGCATGGTTTTCAGGTGAGAGAGAGGTCAAAGGGATCATTCCATGCCTGGGACTACAAAATGGGCCAAGCTAGTAACCCAACAACCCACGGCCTCCTGAGATGCAGCAAGTTAATGAGGCTCTGCCTGTGCTTTGGAAAGGTCTCCTTGAACTTGACCTGCTGGCTGTGTGAGGGCTAAAACTGATGGAACAGGATGTGGACCTGTTTTCAAAACCAAAGGCTGGGGTTTTCTTTTTCTCCAGTCTCTAGTTTCTGTAAAGACAACCTAAAACCCCAAATCCAAATTCCATAATGGTCAAAAAAGAACATCTGTGGGTTGGGGGAAAAAAATATTTGTATTTAACTTCAACCATTAAACTACTACAAGAATACTTGTGCTAGTAATAATTTTTAAAATGCCAAAGAAAATAATAAAACTCCATTAAAAAAAAGATGGCATTTTTTAATATCCCTTTTGCTTGTCTGTAAATGGAGGGACAAGGGGAAAAACACAGGGCAAAACCTCTCCTTTCAGAGAAAAAATCACCACAAAACTCCATCCCATTTCTTGCCAGTTAACCAATCTTGTGAATTGCTGCAGTCTCATCCCTACATGACGATTTTTGTTTGTTTTATCCAGACATGCTTTGCAGGAAGGGGCTTTTGCAACCCAAACAGCGCCACTGCATCAAGCAGGCACTGAGCTGAGCCGTGGAGCTGCTTGGAAGTTGCCTCGTCTCCCAGCAAATGAGAAGCGGAGGGAAACACGGACGCAGGCGACGCTGCACCTTGCAGCAGAGACTCGTGTGTCCTACAAGTAACCTTGCATCAAGATACAGAGCCACAACAGCAGCCTTATGGGTACAGCGAGAGGAGGAGGAGGACAGCGAGGAGGAGGGGAAGGGCAACAGGAAAACAATCAGAAAACTCCCTGGGAATCAAGTCTTCTCTTCCTCCTTAGGAAGAAAAAAATTTTTTTAAAAAAATGATAATATTAAGAATAAAAAAATAAAAACCCCTCCCTGACACAGAGATGGAAGGAGGGGATGAACCCCTTTACACTCCATGTCCCCAGCTAAGGCCCCCTCCCTTTCCCAGAGCTCCTAAACACCACTGGGGGCTGCTGGAGGAGAAAAAGGGTCACATTTAAAAGGCGAATGGGAAGCAGGGAGGAGGGAGGACACTCCTGAGCCCGGCCAGTGGCCCCACGGTCTCAGCCATTCTCATTCCTGACACGTCTCTCTTCTCTCCAGCTTCGAAATATTAGTGCGGCGCAGAGTGCCATTTTCGAGTCGCTGCAGCTCCTTCTTGGCACCGGTTCAGCTTTTTGTCTTGCCTTCTCCTCCGAGCGCCCGGCAGAGGGAAGAGGGAGGGAAGGAGGGAGGGGGATGAAGCCCCTCGGGTTCGCTGCCGGGGCCGCCCGGCTCTCCGCGGCATCCCGAACCCTCCCGGCCCGCTCCCGACCCAAAACATAAATCTCTTCCCAGCTCCACAGCCAGTTCGCAGCCTTCCTCCTCCCCCTATTCGGCAACCCCCCCCAAACCCAACACTTCTCCCCGCCGCCACCCCTTTTCATCGCGCTCTCCCCCTTTGTACTCCTCTAATTTTTTTATTTATTTTTTTTTTCCAGCCAAGCGTTGCAACCTTCCACCCTCCCTTTCTCCCTCCGTCCCCCGGCCCTCCCCACCTCCTGCTCTCGCATCGGAGGGGGGGGAAAAAAAAAAAAAAAAAAAAAAAAAAAAAGAGAGGAGAAGATCGTGCCGCGGTTGCCAATGCCCTGGCATCTCCCAGAGACGTGAGGAGCCCCCTGGACCCACAACGCGGCCGGGGGGTCCGTTCCATCCCCATCCCGGAGCTGCCCAGGCGCGGAGCTCACGGGCGCACACGCGTGTGCACACACACGTGTGGCGGGGCAGGACACACTCCGCCTGCATCCCTCGGCACTGCTGCAAACACAAGCGTGCCTTTGGCAGCAAAGTCCCCCCCTCCTCCTGCCTGTGGGGCCGGGAGAAAAGCAGAGGCGGAATAACAAGGGAGGGACGCTGTATTTTTTTTTAAGCAACCCAAACATGGCACTGAGCGCTTCCACCAACAACTTCTCAGCCTGCTGTGCTGGCAACCAGCTGCTGGTTCCAGCCTGGCACCGGCTTTGATTTGTTTTTCTCTCCTCTTAAACGCCCTCCTCCCAAATATTTATCCCCTTATTTTATTTTTTTTTAAGTTTCTTTTTTTTTTTTTTTTCTATTTCCCTCTTAGTTTTTCTGTGGGGACAAGGCTTGTCCATATTCTTGTCACCTTCTCTCTGGTGACTAATGACAGGACCCAAGGGAACAGCATGAAGCTGTGTCAGGGAGAGCATAGACCTGATATTAGGAAAAGATTTTTCACCCAGAG